CCCCCCCCAGTTCTCAGGTTAGAAAGATCTGATTGTAAACCTCCAACTTGTGGCACAGCTAATCCCTTTTATTTTGTAGCAGATAAGAGTCCCTAACCTAAGAGTGGCTGAAAACGGAGGTATGATGGTGCTATTAGCCGTTCCAGGGTGGAGGGCTGCTGTTCGCCAACACTGCCGGTGCTGCCAGTCGCATCTGGAAACCAACCATGACTGTGGTAGTGAAGAAACCCTTCTTGAGGCAGTCCATATCTAGGGAATCATGGTTTTGTGGAAACTATGAAACCTAGTGTTTCCTGCAAAATCTGCAGGGTGGGTATAGGGGGAAGAAAACTTACATAATTTTTTTTTTTTTTTAAAGCTTTTTATTTCTTCCCCTTCCTGGGTGGGTCTTGTCCTGCCAACTGGGTGCCTTTCCCTCCCAGGTGGGCTGCATCATGAAGAGGGTACCAGTCAAGGCGTTCAGCAGTCAAGATGGCAACTAGCCCCTTGTCCCTCTGCCAATTGGCACCGAGGAGCAGGGCCACTGCAAAATGCCTGCGAAATGGGCTCTTTGTGCTGAGACAAAGCTGTGAAAATGGCCATCCTGTCGCGAGTTAAGTAGGTCCCTACCATATCCCTGGACAGGCTCAGCAAGTGGGCGGACGAGAATCTGATGGTGTTCAACGCCGATAAATGCAAGGTTCTCCACCTTGGGAAGAAAAACCCGCAGCATCCTTATAGGCTTGGCCGTGCTACGTTGGCTAGCACTATGCAAGAAAGAGACTCGGGGGTCATCATTGACCACAAGATGAACATGAGCCTGCAATGCGATGCGGCGGCTAGTAAAGCGACCAAAATGCTGGCTTGCATCCATAGATGCTTCTCAAGCAAATCCCGGGACGTCATTCTCCCCCTGTACTCGGCCTTAGTGAGGCCGCAGCTGGAGTACTGTGTCCAGTTTTGGGCTCCACAATTCAAAAAGGATGTGGAGAAGCTTGAGAGAGTCCAGAGAAGAGCCACGCGCATGATCAGAGGTCAGGAAAACAGACCTTACGACGACAGGCTGAGAGCCCTGGGGCTCTTTAGCCTGGAAAAGCGCAGGCTCAGGGGTGATCTGATGGCCACCTACAAGTTTATCAGGGGTGACCACCAGCATCTGGGGGAACGTTTGTTCACCAGAGCGCCCCAAGGGATGGCGACTAGGTCGAATGGTCATAAACTACTTCAAGATCGTTTCAGGCTGGACATAAGGAAGAATTTCTTTACTGTCCGAGCCCCCAAGGTCTGGAACAGCCTGCCACCGGAGGTGGTTCAAGCGCCCACATTGAACACCTTCAAGAGCAAACTGGATGCTCATCTTGCTGGGATCCTATGACCCCAGCTGACTTCCTGCCCTTTGGGTGGGGGGCTGGACTCGATCTTCCGAGGTCCCTTCCAGCCCTAATGTCTATGAAATCCCAGCTATTGCAGGGTTTCTCCTTGCATTTTCCAATAACCAAGTAATGGCTTCTGTGGTGGGGTGTTTTTTTTTCTCTTTGAAATGGTCACAGCTGAATAAATCTTGCTGTAGGGAAGGCTTTGCAGTTGCTTCCTTTCCAATTTCTCATCTTACTATGGCTTTTATAGGTTTCAAGTATTTGACTCCACCCCACCCCCCGCTCATCTCCTTCTCCCCCCTCTTTTTACATGTTCAGAAACATTAGCTCCGACTCAAAGGAAAGACTAAGCTGACCTCTAACATCCAAATAACTTCTGTTGGCTTGACTTGTAACCTTCCTGCTCTACTGTCTCTGGTGTTGCAGTTAGGAAGTGGCTTTAACTTGGCATTTTGGGTATTGTCTTACTAGAGCTCTGGCAGGCTTGCTGCCTTCATTTTGACCTTGCTCCTTCACATACAGCACAAAACTGCACAAGCTGTCTGCTGGTCAACTGGCTGCACCAGTATTCGTGCCCAAATGGGCAGATAGTATAAATGTAATGATCTTCAAGACCTCAGACTTCTGTCTCTGGGGACAGAAATTGCACACAAACTGGTATAAGTGGTTGGAAACCAGTTTAAATCTGGAACCCATCTCCAACAGAAGTTCAGTGCACAAACTGCTTCCAAAATGTCCGAACCCGGTTTAAGGTATCAACCTAGATGGATGTAGTATCAGACTTAACTGATTTAGGTTAAATCGGTTTATTGGACTTCTGTTCTAGCTCCCCTCCAGATTCAAGTTAACTCGGCCGCCCTGTCTCCCAGGATGCTCTACACCTTCCCCACAAACCCGCCCTCGTAGGCTGGGCAAACTAGCCTTGGTCCAAGCTGTCTGCTCCAGCAGGGAGGCATGCTCTAGCGCCCCCCAGCTTCTGGCCTGGGCCACTGCAAGCCTGTGGCTGCATTTCTGGAATCAAATATGAATGTCTGTTCACTTGCTTATCGGTTCAGTGTGTGCAGCTTAGACTAACCTGTGAGGACTGAATCAATTCAGCCTCAGGCTTTTTAACTGCCTGTACTTGGCTTTGATGTTCTCCATTAAACTTCTTCACAGCCTTGTGTCCGGTGATATTGCTGCATTTCCACATTGCAAGCAGTTCCCTTAACTTTTTAAATTGGCCATCTGGGTTATCTCTTTAATGTGTCCAAGGCCCATAGTTGCAGTGGCTAGTGGGTATCTTGTATCTAGACTTTTGGAGCTAGGATTTGGTTGGGATTTCTCCCCCTGTATGGATAGTCAGTGGTGCATGTGTTCTGCTTGTTTGACCAAGATAATTCCTTCCCTGGCTGCTGGTAGCTAATTGAGGAGGGGGAGGGGGATGCTGAGTATTGCAGGCCAGCTCTGCCAAGTACAAAGTGCCTGTGAGTTTATCAGCATTCATCAGGGCCGTCTCGGATAAGGCGCCAACAACCCCCATTACGTGGCTTACTTGAATTTCACCCCTCTATCTCCACAATGAAGGGTTTCATTCCTGTTGCATTTGAGCTCAGAAGGGGCTTGTATATATAAAATGGAGCTGCTGCTCTTAACCTGCTAAGGACACTGTAGCACAGTCTCTATGGCTGGAGTGAAAGCACCTAAACCATCTAAAGGGCTAACATCACTGCTTGCAAAGCCCCAACCAGCAATCCTGCTACTGAAGTGGAAGCAGTGACTTGCTGGAAGATCCCGAGTCCTGCTGTCCAGTGAGTCTGTGAGCCACCCCTGTGCCTGTCCAGGTCCTCTTCTCTACTGCTGAGCTATAGAAATGGTGTGTGGGGCTGTGAAGAGGAGCAAGGATTGCATTATAGCCTGGAACACTTCCAGGAGTGACTTTTGTCCTCTGGTATGAATTGAATTTTCTTTCTGTGCTGTTTTATCTTTTTTAAATTCAAAAAGCTTCCAACTGGGAAGGGCTTCCAGCAGGCTCTTTCCTTCAGTCCCTTGTGAAGTTCCTTCCCCTCCCGTCTGAACACACTGTGCTGTGTGCCGGTGCCTTGCATATGTTGAATTGCAGAAGACTTGAGGGACATGCAGGCTTGAATGAAGGATTCCTGTATTCCAGCCTCAGCTAAAATCTCTCTGCCGCCTCCTATGCAAGTGCCAGTAAACCATATCAATGGCACCATTGTTCTCTTGTTTTCACTGGGGGGGGAAAAAAAAAAAAGAAAAAAAAAAAGTTGGATTTTTTTTTTTTTAAAGCCCTTTAATGTTCATTTGATCTCGCTGGGTTGGTGGCTGTACCCAAGGGCACATGGCAGACTAAAGAGCTAAGCTGAAAGTACACCCATCCGACCTTGCTTTTGCACTCTTTTTCAAATTGTCTGTGCAGGAAGTCTTTTCTCAAATGACCCTTGAATGTGCCTCTGGATGTTGTTTCATTGGTTAATGTTGGGACTGATGAGGGATCATGCCATGAGTCTAATGGACCATGTGGCTATCATGACACTTCTGGTTTGTGCGTCTGAACCAGTCTCATCACCCCCTCCCAGCCTCCATAGCTTTCCATGTACTGACTTATGCCAGGTTTCTATTAATAACACAGAGTTGGGGTCCTAATGAACTTCACAAAGGTATTTCAGATCCAACTGGGACGGAGAGAGGGAGATTAAATGAAAGAATGAATGAGTGAGCTGCTAGTTTTTTCACAAGTGCTAACTTCACTTGATACAAAAGAAGGGCTAACTGGGCTGACAGACTAGAGAACAAAACCTAAGGTAGCTGTTTTTATTTGCATCGTGGTATAAGTAACCTCTCAGCTATATTCTGATTATTGATGATCCACGTTGCACCTTATATTCTCCATTCTTGTGACACAGTGATCTATTTAAGGCATGGTTCTTGGACTGGGATCCAGCCTGCTGATGAAAATCAAAGGGCCTGGGGTAGTACTGGGGTGGTGCTGTTGCCCTGTGCTCTAGGTCCGTTATTATAAATCTTCTGCTGCACCTAATCGGTTCATCCTGTTCATGATGGACACCTCCTGTTCTTGACCCGTCCTGATGGATGACAAGGTCCCTTCGAGCCCTAAACTCCTGTGAATCTGTACTATCCATCCTCCTCTTAAATCTCTTCCAGTAGAGGGCTAATGCAGCTCTTTACATGTACCGTGTGTGTTTGGGGACCTATCCCATGGCTCTTGGCACCGTGATGCTCCAGGATTTTCAGTGGTGGGAGAAAGTTGCCTTTCCAGGAGTCTGCCAAAGGGAATGTCTTGGCACAGGTGTCTGTCTGAAACCTTGCTGCAGAGTAGATGGGTTGGGGACTTCAAGCCCAGGCTAGCTTGAGCCCTCCGGGTGCAGGCCAGCAGCCCTGTGAGGTAGATGTCAAGATGCTGCAATTACAGCAGTGAAGTTCCCAAAACCAGTCTGGGATGCTAGTTCAGAGGGTCCTTGCCATACTAAGCAGTAAAGCAGGATGCCTGGAGAGTCTTGGGGCTGGCCTCCAACATACCTGTCTAGGCTGTGTGCAAATTGATGCTTTTACCTCTGGAAGGGGACAGCTTTTTGTGACAAATGACACCTGGCCTAGCCAGCTGTTTGCTTTCAAGTTCCATAGCCCCCAGCCATGCCACACTTCACCTTGCAACACAGCAAGGGAGACTTGTCCCCCGCTGAAATGTTGTATTATAAAATACTCTTTCCATATTTTCCAGTGCATAGTGGGGGGGGTTTTACCATACTTCCCACTGCTGTACTTTTCTCATGTTTATGGGACACGGTTAGCTTTGCTTTAGTTTGCAAAATCAATCGAGGGAGTCCAGGGCAGGCTGTGCAAGGGAGCCCTCTCCCTCCAGCCCCTCCGTCACTTTTGAAAGATAGTGATTCATTGCAGTTTTCTGTGTGTTTTCCTGTTTAGTCTTCCTGTTGCCATGGTTGTTGGCCCTGAGGTGCAGCCTGTATGGTTGCAAAGGAACACGCCTTACGTTTGCCATATGTGTGCACTGGAATATCTACAGCCAGAGACCCACACCCTCCCTCCCTTCCCCCATCATAGCTGATATCCAGGACTAGGAAGAAGCCTTATTCCTCAACTATCAGGCAGCATGTTTAACCATGTCTCAAAACACAGCAATACAGGCAAGACCTCCTTTGGCTTTGATACTTGGAAGAAAGCATGTCAGAATTGGATGCATCGTGTCGGGATTCCTAATGATGAAGTACCGTAACTCTCATATGCAATATACCTCTGAATATAATGTGCACCTTTTGAAAGGCTGAATGAAGAAAAAGATTTCTTCCATAATGGAGTTATGGTGGCATAGAGCAGGGGTAGAGCCTAGCCTTCAGATGACTTGCCCTCTCTGAAGCCTTCGCTGCTGCTAAAGACTGGTTCCCATGAGTGGATCTCTGATTTGCAAAAGAGCTACAGAGTCTCTAAAGCTGTGAAATAGGAGATGGATCAGGAGATGTTAGCACACAGCTAAAAGAAAGGCATGCTTGATGAGTGGAACAGCAAGACTGTTAGAAACGGTAGACAATTGTTAGCACATCTGGAATGAAGAACAATGAGCCATTAAATCTATTAATTCCCTCAGCTGTCTGAATACTAAGCCCATGGCTACTGCACTGTGGAGCTGGAGTCGAAGCATGGTGTCTGTTTTAGGCAGAAAATCCGCTTCCCTGCTTTAATATACGCACCCAATTTTGGGGGGCTGACTTTGGGGGCAAGAAAATATGGCAATACGTATTGGACATGGACTGGAGTCTTGTTTGCTATCTAAAGCTAAGCAGGGTAAGATGTGGCCAATGCAGAAATGGGAGGCTTTCAGTAAAGCTGGGTAAGAAGTGGTTTTCTTCTTTAGTAAGTGGTGCTTGTTCTTCAGAGGTTTCTGGCTCTCAGTGGGTGGTTGGTGACTGATATGTAAGCTGTCTAGCTGACAGATTTGCGTCTGAACTGATCCAATCTGCCTTTTTAGCTTAACTCTTCCACTTTGAGCTGCAAATGCCACTGGATTGCAACTACCCCTTGCAGGATCTAAGGGGATGTCTACAGATGGCCAACAAAGTGCTATGCAGAGGTACCCAAGCTGGATCTGAACAAAGGAGAGCTGCATCAGTACAGGCAAGGTGGTCTGGCAAAGCTAACCGGTCTGGTTGGAGTGCTGTACTAACCGCAGCTATTTTGCTTCCTGTATTTGAACCAGCTTGACTATCTCTGCACTGCATAGACGGGATGGATGCCCAGCTCTAACTGGAAAGAATGCACTGAGCGGGGATTAAGCTCGGACTTTGCGCCTTTGTATCACTTTGACTGGGGAGGCTTGAATCTCTTGATCATAGGGCAAAGTGAGGGTGGCTCTGTATGGTCACTGATGAATCTTTTTATCTTCCAGTGAGCTGTCTTTTAGGAGATGTTGCCTATGGTACGTCCAGTTTAAAAGGCATTTGGTGCGATGCAGCTGCAATTATACACCAGCTGTGTAGCCATGAAGCGCGAGTCCTTGGTCAACAGTCTCTCCATTCTTGTCTCTGCAGGTGTTGCTCTCCGCGGACTTGGATTTTGACCATCCTGAAAGCGACCGGGACATCTCTAGGCTCCAAGGGACCAAGCCGAAAGTGAGGCAGGCGGGCTACCAGGTGGTCATTTAACCAGCTGGAAATCAAGTGAAACGGAGAAAGTGCCAACAAAGAAAATAGTGAAAGCTGTTGTTGAACTCTGCCAGAGGGCTGGGTAGGCGTGATAGTCTCTTGTACCCGTGAATGGAGACCATATACTAACGCTACCCCGATGGACCTTTTGAGAAGTTACTTTTTTTCCCCCAATGATGTATTTGTACATTCTGCATTCTTGCTGCCTGGTATGGTGGCTGGCACTGTGTATACATAGTGCCCGTACCTGTATTTGTCTCCCAAGCACAGCAAGGGTAGAATTAATAGTTGCATTTCTCTGGCTGGCCAGCTGGTTTGTAGTTTGTCAGGACTGAGGCATAAAGGAAAGCTCAATCTTTTTATAAGAAGAGATCTTTATCATGTATTAGCTCTACTGGGCCACTTTTTATATGCACAGATACTTGACATGACTTGACTTTGTAAAAATGTATTTAAATGTCCTTTTTGGGGGATAAGGCTGATTGGACCAGTGAATGACATGGGTGTCTGTTTGGTTTTTCTTTTTACTGTTTTATACGGATGGTAATAAAAGCCTGATTTTTGAAATTGCTTTATGGTTGAAGCATTCTTGTACTTGTCAGGCCCTCGCAGCACAGTTATTGGTAAACTAGTTGCATTTTTCTTAATCCCCATCTTCCACTGACTTGAAGCTTGTCCTGCAATGTCATGACTGAACTGGAGTCATTGTGAGGTTGGTCGTGGCTCTCCGATTTCTCTGAACAAAAAAAATCTGAAGTCCCTTGAGCCAGTGGTGTCAGGAAGGGATGTGAGGGGGAGAGTGATATATCTTAACAACCTGCTGCCTATGGCAAAGCTCATCTGTTCAGGAGATGGGGCTTTTTGTGTCTGGCTGAGACCAGAAAGGACTTCCAGGGAGGACCTGAAGGGTTTTCCCAGGCTTTGCTACCTTCGGCTTCAAATGCACTTCCTTGATCTGCCGCCTTGCACAGAAACGCAACAGCAGGTGTGGCTTTGAGTAAATGCTGCACTGCACACCAGGGGAGAACAAGTGATGTGGCTGTGCTGCTGCATGCTCTACTGAGGGGTGTTTGGGACCTGGTTTTTCAACTAAAATACCAGCACTCCTAAGGAAGACTCTGGAGCCAATGGGAGACTGGGGTGGGGGGGGGGGGGGGGGGTTTGGAGCACCCTCCTTGATCCTCCAAAATGCTGTGCCCTCAGCAGTGCCTAATGATTTTTTGCTGGATACAAAACAGCTCCCTATGACTTACTGAAGCTCGTAAAGTGTCTCTTTACTGAGGATTTTGAAGTGCAAGCCCAAACTTGCTTCCCCTCCCGTTTTTTTTGGGTTTTTTTGTTTTTTTTTTAAATGAACCTTTTAAGGCCAAGTCATGAAAGGTCAGGACCATGTGAGGTTCAAAATGCCAACGTGGTTTACAAACATAAGAGACTAAAGGTGCCAATTACAGTATGTGATCCCTTCCACGAAGGCACGCATGGCTGAGTTGAAAACCGTTCAGAACAGAGCTGTGCCAAAATCGTGAGGTCTGGATGTGGCAGGGGTTTGGGTTCATCTTAATCCAGGTGGCCAAAATAGCACTTTGCAAGAGCTCATTTTGGTGAAAAACCAAACATGCCCTGGTAGACTGGCATGGTGTATTAATATTTTATATGACACACAATGAAGTGCATCAAGCTGCTTCCCCTGTGCAACTTGTGCATTGTATGACGGTGCACAAGTTGAGTGGAAGCTAAATTTTCGGGCTGCAGGAGAGACCTGCGGCAAGACTTTTTGCAAATATGCGTTTTTTATGCTGCTAGTTGAGAATTTCATGGAGCAGCAGAAGTTGGACCCCTCGATGCACTTTATTCTTTAGCAAAGCACCCTATAGGCATACAAGATGCTTGCATGCACTCCTTTCCCTTGACTTTGCCCATGGTGTGCAAACACTCGCAGGAAAATGTGGATGTGTTGTATGCCGGTGCTTAATCTTATCTCAAGGGTCACTGCCATGGTCAGCAACACCCCGTCTTGGGATTGCTCCCACTTTTTTTTTTTTTTTTTTTCTTTTTCTTTTAAGGCTCCCAAATGAAATGGAGGTGGAAAGGATGGAGAGAAGTTCAGGGCTCCTTCTAGCCATATAATATAGGGAAACCTCCTGAAGAATAAGGACTTGGGATAGGGGACAAGCTGATTGCCATCCTGTGTTGTCAAGTTTGTACCTCCTTTAGACAGACAAGGTTCCTTGGGTGAATTTGATATCTTTTATTAGACCACCCCAAATAGTTGGAGAATATTTATTAAGCAAATTTACCCAAGGAACCTTGTCTGCCTATGTCCTTAGACCAACACAGCTACAACCTAAACCCCTACCTCCTTTAGAAGATTTTAAAGCTTTAATAAGAAAATACCTCCCCTTTAAACAGTACAGTAGTTTTACCCAAGTCCTGTTATAAGATCCTTTATCCTCCTTCAGAGAAATCTAGTCACTACACAGGCTTTTCCACTAATGTTTAAATACCTAGAGATCTTTTATTTAACTCGTTTTCTCCTGCTCCACCCCTGCAAAAAAAAAAACAAAAAAACCTCCCCTGCACATACTTCACCAGGTAGAACAATTTATGACCCATCTTAATGTTCAATCCACTGAAGCAGCTGGCTCAGATCTTGTAGTGAATGAAATGCAAGACTGTGTAGACTAGAGGATAAATGTCCCCTTGCGGACGGGAGATGTTTTGCACAATGGGTTTTCTATACCTGTGGACTAGACTCTGCTTAAAGATGCTGCTACAGGATGGCATTTGGCTGTTTTTCGAAGCACATTTCCACCAGGATCCCTCTGGCTTAGTGTTCGTTATTGGTGATCTAAGGGTCTGTTGGGGGAGAAGGGGTGTGCGGCTGGTCTGCCACATGAGCTAGACCTCGGTCTATTCTGTCATGTGAAACAGGCCTGCATTGGGCCTGTGGCCAAGCTTGTGCTGCTTCTACACCAAATAAAAACTTTACCTCCATGTTCACTGTAAAATATTTATTATGAAAATGGATAAGTGGACCCATGTTACCCAGAACACCAAGGTGCCCTCATGGCGGCTGCATGGAGTGAAGCTGTATTTCACTGAGAATAAAAGTCCCTTTCTGTGCCTGGGAACTTGTGTGCATAGAGGAGCGCACTGTAACCCAGAGTAAAAAAAAAATAAAAATAAAAATAAAAAAATCTACAGCTACCAAAAAAAAAAAAAAAAAAAAAAAATCTACACCTATCATAAAAATGCTGCCCTCAATGGACTGTGCATTTCCTACCACCTGGCACAGTGGTGGAAGACCAAGCTCTCTCCTTAAGGTGTTGAACCAGGGTGAGGAGTGGGAACTTGGTAGGGAAACCTCTTGGCAACACGTGCAGTGCAAAAGTGCTTGATTCCCTTGGGGATGTTCTTTCTGCAGCTTCACCGGTATCCAGACAACCAACTCCAAGTAAAACAGCCAGCTGAGTGCAGGATGTAAAGCAGCCTATGTATTCCTGCCACCTTTTCAGGGCAGAAACCAGTTTAACCAGCAGTTGCCCATTCCCTTCGATATTCTCCCTCCGTGTACCTGCTGCAGGACTCTCAGCTTAGGTTGTTGGGCCAGCTTGCAGGAGGTCCGTGCCTTAGCCCACACCCAGGCCTCCCACCAGTCAAACAGCAGGGGTGTTTTTTTCTTTCTCCAAAATAGATACTGGTCACAAGTGTCAGACCTATGGTAGCTTATGTGGCAATCCTGGCTTGAGGATTAGGGTGGGAGGCAGCACTCAAAAGTCTGCCTGGGTTGCAACCAGCTCCCTGGAGAAGATTGTTTCTGTGCCTAGGGCCGTGAATTCTGCTTTCATTACAAAGCACTAACTTTGGCGCAAACTCTTGGCACTTGAGGTACCCTGGCTGAGCTTGGTCTTAGGAAATTTTTAATCAAAGCCAGGCCTGTTTTCCTGTAACGAGTATGAAAATTCACCAAAATGCAAAGCTTAAATGTGTGTATAATGCATCTGCACAACACAGGATCAATGGCAGATCTTGCAGCTGAAGGATGCTGTAGATGCCAGACTATGGTGACTTTTTCTGCAAAATACATGGTGAGCAAAAAGACCAGCAGTGTGTGCGCCTGCATTGCTAAATCTCAAAGCTGTTCCTCTGCTCTTTTTCCAGATGACAACTATTTGGCTGTTTTAAAAGATGCTTCCACACATGCTCCCTTCCCTTTTTGAGTCCCAGAAAGAGAGAATACATTAGCTCAGCTTTGGCTTCCTGCACAAATATGTCTCTAATTGCTGGAGTCGTCTCTGGCAGCATTTTACTAGTATAAGATCTCCCTGGTGGCTGATGTGCAGCTTTATTAAATGATGCTTCATATTTTTAAATAGATCTCAAGCTAGTCCTTTGGACTGGCTCCCTGTGCTTTCAGGCACCTGCAGTGGGGGTGTCTTGCCTGATTCATAACCTTGCCTTCCAAACCGCCTTGTCTGTGCAGGAGAGGAGAGGACTGTTTGAAGGATAGGCATTTGGGGATTAGAAATGAAGATCGTGGTTCGCCCCTCCACCCTTTGAGCTGCTTTCTTTCCCAAGGAGCTCTGACTGTAACGGTTGCTAGAGGAGTCTCTGTAAATACAGGAGTGAGGACACGCGCTGTGGTCATTGGATTCCTAGTGTCCAGAGAGCTTAAAACTTTTCCATTAAATAGAGGTGATGCCTAGTACTGTAATGAAGCAGCTGAGCTGTGTGTTGGATGCCCATGCAGGAGCTTTTTGGAGGAAGGAAAGAACATGGTTTTAAAACCACAGCTGAAGGACTGCTTAGCCAAGGTGCTATGAGAGATGGAGCTTACGCTGTCACTGTCATTGGTTTGGACAGAGTTACCATCCAGAGCACGGCTGCAGTCCAACAGCAATAAGCCATGCAAGGGTATGCTCTGCTTGAGATCCCCTGGGATAGAATTTCATTCTTCCCAACAATCCCAGACCAGGTAGTGATGGCCAAGAAAGCAAGGCCGCAATGCGGCTGCATGGTTTGTTTAACCCTTTGCTGCCCCTGGGTTTCTTTCAACACATGCTCCTGCCCCTTACCCAAAAGCATCAATGGTTGAATCGAGTGGTGCTCCAGATCATCTCCGCAGTCAATGAGATCACTTTGTCTTATCCCACCTCAAGCATTGTCCTCTACAAGTTGTACCTAGCTGTGTGCGATGAGCCATCCACTGGTGGATATTGCACAGCACCGCAGGGGGATTGATTTATTTCTACCCCAGCTTCTCTCTGCACTGTTGAATTCAACAATACCTGCTCCCTTCTTCCCCCTCCATCCCTGCCCATCAGGAAAGTGCTGGCCTCTTTGCATGCAAAGCCTCACCCCCACATTCCCAGGACTCAACCCACGTTCTTCCAGCACAGAAGAGAGGCAGCAGATTTCCAGAGGGAAAAGCTTGAGCACCAAGAAAAAAAAAAGCCCCACCCAGCGCGAGAGGCTCTTGCAGGGCAAACGATGCTACACGCGCTGGTGCAATCAGTGCGATCTGCCCTCACAGTCAGTGACTCATCCCAACGCCAGTTCCTGTATCGAAA